TGGAGGTGAGAATGGCCAGACTTTGTTTCACCTACTTTGGTTATGTTGTAAGAAGGGACCATTCCCTGGAGAAGAACATCATGCTTGGTAAAGTGGAGGGTCAGCGAAAAAGGGGAAAGCCCTCAACGAGATAGAGTGACACAGTAGCTACAACGATGGGCTCAGGTACAGCAAGGATTGTGAGGCTGGCACAGGACTGGGCAGTGTTTTGTTCTGTTGTACACAGAGTTGCTATGAGTCGGAGCTGACTCGAAGACACTTAACAACAACTGCAGCAGTAGGGAAAAAAAAAGCCAAGAAAATTGTTTCTGAGGCCTCAGTTGGACAACATGTCAACTCCAATCTAGTTACACCCTGTTCCACCTCTCTATTTACCCTGCTATCCGAACATTGTACAGAGCAGTGGAAAGAGAAATGGAATGGGAATTCAGAGACCTGGTTATCTCTACTCTGTATCTTTCTGATATTTGACAAAGTATGCATTCTGTTTGAGCCCAAATCTCTTTATCCATAAAATAAGGGATTCATACTAGCTAGGTTGTCCAGTTGTATTGCACTGTGATATACCAGATTGTCTTGAGGAATGAATGACTCATTTTCCAGCTGCTAGAAGTGCTGCCAATAGTAAGCCCTCAGTAGAATTGCTTTGGCTGAAGAGCACTGACTTGCCCAAGGTTACATGCCCTTCCTAGAAGGCCTGTACACAATGGCTGGTAGGTATCACTGACATGTAAAGGCCTGGCCCACGTGCCCCAAGTCAGTACTACTGTAGGATCAGCCTAGAACTCGCATAGGTCAAACCAGACTTTGAGTGAAATTGCACTGTAGCTCCACTTCTCTCTCAGTCCAATTTTTCCCTTCCCTTACACAGATATTGATGCCAAGAGTAGCTCGTAGTAAACCTCCTGCATACTAAATTTCATCTCAGAGTCTGCTTGCCAGGAATTGTAACGAGTATACACCAGAAATCACTTCCTCAATTAGAGAGTCTGAGAAATGTAACCCATGAACTACATTCTTGTGTTCTAACATGTACCTTGGCTTACCAAGGCCAAAGGTGCTGTCTAGATCAAATCAGATAATGAATGTAAAAGCAGTCTATAGTCTGACGACTCTTATACCATTAATTGTTCATTATCGTTATCACTGCTAATACCATTGCTATCACTATAAATACATTGGCAGAATATTGCCAAATAAAGGGCTTGACAGTTAAAAGATCTGGGTTTTAGGCCTTTTTCTGTCCTATATAGCCCTACATCTGTAGTGATACTGCCTTGGAAACCCAAGGAGGGGTCGCTACAAGTAGGGGCTGACTCGATGGCACATAACAACAAAAACAACATACAGCTTTGGTCATGTTACTGCAAATAACATATAGCCACCAGCTTTCAGACCCTTGATGATACTCTGCCAACTTCATTTCCAGTTCCAACTCATGCATATCTCACATTTTGCTCAAATAGTCCACTTGCTTTTCCTTAAGCCTGCCCTATATTTTAGACTCTTCTCATCATCTTTCTCTTTAATGCCATTGGCCAAGCTTTGACTAAGATGTATCACAAAGACCACTTCTTAGGAAGAATCTTCTAGCTGATAACTAAAAAATTTCATTCCTTTCAGGGTATACTTTGTACAATTAATAATTTAAACTAAGACCTTCCTTCCCCTGCCCATCTCTCAGTGGTCCCTCAAACTACCACAGTGTGGTTCTGACCCACTACATTCACAGAGGTCACCGCTCAGTTGCTAAATCAGTGGGAATATCTGGATGTCTCACTTTGCCTTGCTAAAACTGCTCACTATTCTTTGCTCTTTAAAGCTCTCAGCCTGCAGCTTCTGATACCCTTTTTCCCTTCTGGTTCTCTTCCTACTCCTTTAGCTATCCCTTCTCAATCCCCTTCATTGATTCTTCTTTTTACACTGCTATAAGACACAGAAGTCCACACTCAGCCTTCAATCCCATATTTTTTCCTCTCTGGGGTAGTTCACCCACTCTCACACACAAGGCTTTAATGCCAACCTGTAGCTTGATAATTCTCAAGTTTTTATCTGGCTGGGACCTTTTATGAATTCCCAAGTCAAACAACTAGCTACTTCCTATACATATTTTTTAACCTGTGAATCACACAGGTATGAAGATACTCCAAATTGGACTCAATGACTTTCAAAGAAAAGCTATACCCACTGAGTCTAATCACTGTCTCCAAATATGCCAAGCTTATCCTACTTCTTTACCAATTATCTTCCTATTTGTCTAAGTCTTAGCATTCATTTCTCCAAGCCCTAACTTAAGTGTTACCTCTTCCACAAAGCCTTCCCACAAACTCAATCCTTAGTCATCATATCTTTGTCCCAAACCATCTATTTTCTACTTTTGTCATCCTTAAATGGACTTACTTGATAAACAAGTTGAGAATCTTCTTTAAAACCCCACAACTTAGGCACAGTAAATCTGTGAATCACACAGGTATGAAAATATTCATTGTTGTTAGTTGCCACTGAGTAGATTCCAACTTATGGTTGGAATTTTGGTTCCACTTATTATGGTTCCACTACTCTCGTGTGTAGAGCAGAACTGCTCCATAGGGTTTTCAAGGCTATGATCTTATGGAAGCAAATCACCAGGTCTATTTTCTGAGCTGCCTTGGGGTAGGTTCAAACTACCAACCTTTCAGCTTGTAGTCAAGTGTTTTAACTGTTTGCCCTACCCAAACCAAACCACTGCCATCAAGTCAATTCTGCCTCATAACGACCCTATAGGACAGAGTAGAGCTGACAGATAGTTTCCAAGGCTATAAATCTTTACAAAAGCAGACTGCCTCATCTTTCTCCTGCATAGTGGCTGATGAGTTCAAACTGCTGACTCTTTGGTTAGCAGCCAAGTGCTTTAACCACTGTACCACAAGAGCTCCTTAGGTTAGTCCTTTATGTTTTAAAGAAAAGCTTTTCTATGAGCAGTAAGAAGATCCATGCATAATACAGTATTTATAGATCTTGACTAATGTGCAGAGAGTCAAGGAAGATAAATAAATTCTCTAAACCCCAACTACCCATCAGGATACCACACCAGTCATCTCTCAGAAGAATTTTAAGAAGGAATAATACAGCACTGCTAGCTTCTAGCCCCTATGGATTTCTCCAACATTTCTTGAATATCCTTATCTCATGTACTTTTTCTAAAATATCCTTTCACTCACTTGTTTTCTTGTAGGTTGGACTTACTCATCCTTTAATACAAAAAAAAACCAAACTCACTGCCGTAGAGTTGGATCTGACTCATAGCGACCCCTCCTCCTTGGGTTTCCGAGGCAGTATCACTACGGAAGTAGGTTGGGAAGTAGATTGCCCAACCTTCCTTCTGAGGAGTGGCTGGTGGGTTTGAACTGCTAGGCTTCTAGTTAGCAGTCAAATGCCTTAGGCACTATGCTACCAGCTCTCCCTAGCCTTCCCATAAACTCATCTCTTCCTTCTCTTTTCTGCCAGGACACTTTGTTCCTACTCCTCTTACAGCACTAACCAAATCACAGTAAAGCTGGTTACTTTTACATTTGGGCTCCCTGAGAGCCTGTCAGGTAACTGAAGACAGGGTCTATATCACACACATCTTTGTTGATGAATGCTGTACAAAAACCCACTGGAGGAGGTGCTATTTATTAGCTTCGATTTATGGAAGAAAAAAACAGGCTTAGAGAGGTTAGGGAGCTCATTAAACCAGTTTCCCCAATGTCTGGAACATAAATATTTGTTGAAAGAATGAACAGACTTGTTTGAGGTCACACAGCTAATAAATGGCAGAGGAAGAAATCAAACTCAGGTCTGACTCTAAACCCCATGCTCTTACTATCCCTAGAGATTCTCCCTCTTTTGCTTCATTGCAACATGAAGAGGGGAAAAACAAAACAAAACAAACCTCCTAGTATCTCTGCACAAGTATCCTGTTGTCATTCCTTGTTTTGTCTTGGAGAGGTAAGATAATCCCTGCTCATTTAAAAAATTTTAATCACCTCTCAATATCTTCCCGTTATCATGTAGTTTTTCTTCTGTGAAAATGTGAAAGTGCAACTGCCACAGAACTTTTTATTGCTAACTATAGTAGAAGTGTTGGTGAAGAATGCTCAAAGCACCATGGACTGCCAGGATAACTAACAAATCTTCTCCTGGAAGAAGTACAGCCAGAATGTTCCTTGGAAGCGTGAATGACCAGACTTTGTCTCACCTACTTTGGTCATGTTGTAAGAAGGGACCATTCTCTGGTAAAGTGGAGGGTCAGTGAAAAAGGGGAAGGCACTCAATGACATGGACTGATACAGTGGCTGCAACAACGGGCTCAGGTATAGCAAAGATTGTGAGGGTGGTGCATGACCAGGTAGTGTTTCGTTCTGTTGTACATAAGGTCACTATGAGTCAGAGCCAATGCGAAGGCACCTAGCAACATAGAACTGCCCTTGTTAAAGGCACTTGGGAAAAACTCATTAAAATATTCAAAAAGTACATTGGTGGACTCAATTACTTTATGTCCCTACATTGTAAGCACATGTCATATCTGTGGGGTAAGAAGGAAATAGCCTCTAGGAGCTGATTTATTGGTATGAGGACATTTTATAGCACTTTAACAATCCAGCATTTATAGCACCAGGCATCCATCTACCTGAGAAGTGAGGCTTAGCATTCCTCCAAAGCATTAGTTAATTCCATCTGTAAGAATGATATGTACCAAAACTGTTAATTGCAGATTACATCTTATCTTTGATACATTATAAATTCCAATATTACATCTAACCTGGCCTCTCTTTCAACTGCACAATTACTAAAGGAAAATGCAATAATAATGGTTTGGATACTTCTGTTTTTTAACATTATATATCTATTCTATAATGTTTATTGAAATTCATTATTATATGTTTATAACACAAGTTGCAGGCTGGAAAACTTAATTGGATTAGACATCACCATCCTGAATATGGTACAGCTTAAGGTATTTATGTGCACACACTTACCTTTTGTGCATTCTCCCCATCTTCAATCACAAAATCTAGTCTGGGCTGCCTAGGGTTGATCAGGTCTTTTAGTGTTAAACAATTTACCTCCATCTGTAAAGCACAATTACATCAGAAAACGGTTTTGCAATTAGATATATTCTTCTTTGATGAAACTGTCTATTTACTATCAGTTCATGAACATGAACTTCTCCCTAAATTCATCCTGGGAATTTCCAGAAGTGTAGCCACCCCCCACCCCCTGTAAAACTTGCATGCACACTCGAACGCATGAAGTATGCTTAGTAATTACTGAAAATCTGGGAAGGAAAATCATTGACAAAACTAGGAATTCTTTAGGAAAACCAACAGGGCAAAATAAAATTACCAATTCAAGAGGGTGTTGGGTAAATCTGTCAGTAAGTATAGGGTCTCCTAGGTCAGTTAATTTTGGCGCAAAGAACTGTGAGGAATTTGACTTTGAGGGGGGCTTGAATCAGGAGGGAAGGAAACCTGATCGCTACACCAAACCTACTCAGCGCTTTGCGCAGTCCCTTCCCAGGCCTTCAAGCAGACCCCAAGGATAAACTCTTCCGAAGAAACTCCATATAATGAGAAAGGGCAGGGCCCCTCTGTTTTCCAGGAGAGATAGAACTGGACCCAGGACAGCCCCCGTGAGCCAGGTCCGGCGCAGAAACGCCTCGATCCCCCGCCAGCCGGGCTACGGAAGGGTGCCAGGCTGGCAGTCGGGACGCAAGGGGACCGCTTTTCCCCTCAATTCCCGCCTCAGCACCAGCGCCGGGACCGCACGCTACTTACTCCTGCTTCGCGAAGGAGGCTTCCTGCCTCTAAAGGGACCTCCGCCGCCCCACACCGGAGCGGAAAGGAACGCGGCGATTAGCAGCCGGACGGCTGGAGCTGCGACATTGGGTGGGGAAAACGAGGCTTGCAGACCCCCACTCCGAGTGCCTTGGGTTGGCGGGGACCCCCAGGCGCCAGGGCAGCGCCAGCGCTCCGACCCGCCGACGGCGACTCCAGCCCAGGATCGCGGTCCCCGCTAAAACACCTCCTCTGGCGCCTTGAGACCGAATTTGAGAATCCACCAATCAGCGGCCGCCGGCGGAACGGCTCGGCCAATTGCGCGGCCGCACGGCCTGGGCTGGCCGCCCCTAGGAGACTTGGCGCTCCGGACCGCGCATTTCGCCTTCACCCGCCCAATTGTTGCCGCCTCGGCCCCCACCCCCTTCCGGGTACCTGGAAACCTCGCTCCCGGGAGCCAATTCCTGCAGGGGACAGTGGCCCAAGGGAAGCCTAGGTGGGGGCGGCGGGAGGAGGGGAAGGAGGAGGAGGAGAAGGAGGAGGAGAAGCAGGAGGAGGCGGCTCTTTTGTTATGCATAAAAGACCCGCTCAAGTCCTCTCGGCTTGCCGCGCCCGGAGACCGCGGGCGCAGCCAGAGGAGGGGAAAGCAGATGGAGTTTGTAAAAACGACATACACGCACTGGATGCTGCTGCCGCCCCCTTCCACTCCCCCCTGGCTTCTTCCCCAGCAACCTGCACGGAAGCGAAGTTGTCTAGACTTGTTGGGGCAAACTTCCTAACACCCTAACGCTGGTGTGAGAAGTAAACCATGGTTACCAGTTTATGCTGCGAGCAGATGGCACGCCAGTTAGCCCTGGAAACAAGACTGGAAGCAGAACCGGCCTTTTTTTTTTTTTTTCTCCCCCAAGCCCGGAAATGTGTCTGGATGTTCCCTTTTCAGAACATCTCAAATAATTAGAAGAAAATAAGCCATATTAATATATATATTTTGCGATGTGGACACTGAGGTGAACAGTCGAGAAAATTTCCTGAACATGACTGATTTGTGTTAAATGTTTCACTTCCTTCCACTTTAGTTTCTTACTTAAAATATGAATGTTGGTAGAAACAATCTTGTTTTGTCTTTTGATAGATTTCGTTGTTTAGAACAGTTTTACAGAAAAATTGAGAAAAAAGTACAGAGGATTCTTATACATACCATATTCCACTTTCCCTTATTAGCATCTTACATTTTTTCACGATTAATTAACCAATATTGATATTATTAACTGAAGTCCATACTTTTATTCAAATTTCCTTAATTTTTACCTCATGCCATTTTTCTGTTCCAGGATACCACATTTACATTTAGTTTTCATGTCTCCTTGGTCTCTTCTTGGTTGTGAGACTTAAACTTTTCTTGTTTTTGATGACCTTGGCAGTTTTTAGAAGTACTGGTCAGGTATTTTGTAGAATGTTCTTCTCCTGGGAATTGAGACAGCCTCCTTTAAAGCATATCCACAGATACTTCCCTACAAACTATATGCTCCACAGCAAGGGTATCATCCTCTGCACACCCAGGGTGGCCACGAGTGGACTAGGCAGCAATTAGCAGTAACAGTCCTTTCCATTCCAAGTGCTCTGCTCTCACACCCCCCACACACCCATTCCCCACCACCCCATAAATACATATTGTTGTTGTTGTTGTGTGCCGTCAAGTTGGACCGACTCATAACAACCCCTCCTTGGGTTTCCGAGGCAGTATCACTACAGAAGTAGATTGCCCCATCTTCCTTGCGAGGGTGGCTGGTGGGTTTGAACCACCAGCCTTCTGGTTATCAATCAAGTGCCTTGGGCATAGCAATCAAGTGCCTTGGGCATTATGCTACCAGAGCTATGTGTGTATGTGTATATATATATATATATATATGGCAGCGGGGCCTTGGTGGAGCAATGGTTAAGCTCCACAGAAAGGCAGGCAGTTCAAATCCACCAGCAGCTTCCGGAGAAAACACCTGGCGATCTGCTTCTCTAAAGGTTACAGCCTATGAAACCCTATGGGCAGTTTTACTGCTAAAGAAGGACCTAGGAGCTCTGGTAGCATAATGCCTAAGGCACTTGACTATTAATTAGAAGGCGGGTAGTTCAAACCCACCAGCCACTCCTTGGAAGGAAGGTTGGGCAATCTACTTCGGTAGAGATACTGCCTCGGAAACCCAAGGAGGAGTCACTATGAGTCAGGTCCAACTTGCCGGTGGCACATAATAACAATATTTTTCTAAAGGAACTCTGGTAGCACAGTGCCTAAGGCATCTGACTGCTAACCAGAAGGTTGGTGGTTCAAACTCACCAGTCTCCATGGAAGCAAGACTGGGCAATCTACTTCTGTAAAGATTTACTGCCTCAGAAGCCCAATGGAGGTCACTATGACTTGGAATCAACTCGATGGCAGTGTGTTTTTTGGTTTATTTTTCTGATGTCTATCATGTGCCAGGTTCTGTGTTAAGCATTTTATAGACATTGTATCAATTTATCCTCACATCTATTATTAATATCTCCACGTTACAGAAAAGAAAACTAAGATTTAAAAAAATTAAGTAACTTGTCCTAAGGTCACACTGCTGGAAAGTGAAGATGCCAGAATTCAAACCCAGGTCATAACACTCCAAGCCACACATGTGATCACCATTTATTTATCTTGTGCCATTTAGAAACAACACTTTGAACTGAAAACTATCTTCTAGGTAGAAGCATAGGAGAGAAATATAAAGAATAGAATTGTAATTTATTAAATGTTGAGTTTATGTGGAAGCAAGAAATTTAGATTAAATCATTTTCCCAACTGTATTAGTTTCCAGTGGCTATTATACAAATTTCCACAAACTGGACAGCTTGAAAGAGCTCTGGTGGCATAGTGGGCAAGACATTTGGCTACTAACTAGAAGGTCAGTGGTTCAAACCCACCAGCCGTTCTGTGGGAGGAAGATAAGGCAATCTTCTTCTGTAAAGATTTATGGCCTTGGAAACTCAATGAAGGTTGCTGTGAGTTAGAATTGACCTGATGGCTGTGGGTTTGGCTTTTTTTGGGGGGTGGAGTTTGGCTTAAAGTAACAGAAATTTTTTTCTCTCACAGTTCTGGAGACCATAAATCCAAAATCGGAGTGTCTGGCCGGGCTGCACTCACCCGGAAGCCTCTAGAGATGAGTTTATTCTTTCGCCAGAAAGATTTTGGTGAGAATCTGCATTTTTTGACCTGTGACCACATCAATTCAGCTTCTGCTCTGTCCTAACATTGCCTCCTCTTCTTCTGTCTGTCAAATATCCTTTGTATATAGCTCATAAGGACACATGTCATAAAATTTAGATCCAACTAGGATGGTCCAGGATGATCTCGTCTCAAGATCCTTAACTTAATTACACCCACAAAGACCATTTTTCCAAATTAGGTAACATTCTTAAGTTCTGGGTGTTAAGACATGGACATAGTTTTGGGGGAGCTTCCATTCAGTCCTCTAGACCAATATTCAAATTATTAAAGTCCATTCGTTTCTCTGATATTTCAGACTAACAGTGGTTTTTTTTTTTTTTTTTGAGGTTGTTGTTGTTGTTATGTGCCGTCGAGTCGGCCCCGACTCATAGCGACCCCTCCTTGGGTTTCCGAGGCAGTATCACTACGGAAGTAGGATTGCCCAACCTTCCCTCTGAGGAGTGGCTGGTGGGTTTGAACCGCCAGCCGTCTGGTTAGCAGGCAAGTGTCTTAGCCACTATGCTACCAGAGCTCCTTTTGAGGTTAGGCAGTTTTATGTTACAGACCTTTTCCTAGAATTTTCAGAGTAAAAACACTTTTTTCCCCAACCTGTTTCAGTTTGATTGTTGCTTCTATCTATTAAAATCAAAGAAAATTCAGTTAGTGTGTAGCCTCAGAAACTTGTCATTATATTGATTATAAAAGGTAATGTTGATCTTACATTTGCAGGAAGACTGAAAAATGAGTGTTTATTGGGTAAATTCAGAGACATTACCCCAACATACTTATTTATATTGATGCTTTAGAGTCTCAGAATTTCAAGTTTGTTTTAAATGCTTTGTATCTTATTCCTTAGCATCATGCTAGTTGTACCCTTATTTATGGACTCTTTTGGATGCTTCTGACTCAGTGGTTTCAGAAATGGCTGCTTAGGTCCTATCAGCGAGAACAGGGATACTTGGGCAGGTACCTACTCTCTGGAGTAGGGGCAGAGGCTTTAAGGACTGGGTCTGATGTTGTGTGGCTATGTCACCAGTATTTGGAAGAAGTTGAGGTTGTGAATGAGAAA